AAAAATTTTAGAGACGGGCAAGCACTAAATATTATTAAACTATTACTACTAAACATTAATCAACAACACAAGATGAATCGACACGGTAATGTGTCATTCTGGTGATTTCATTTGAACTTGCTATATCATCTTCTGCAGAAATAATGGAAACTTTTCTGCAGGGCAATTTTACATCAAGAAGAGAAAACAATAATTCTTTAATTTCCTCTACAGATATGAAAATGCCAAGACAGATGCATACATGTGTTCATTGTGGGGCTGGCAATGTGGCTCACTGGCAAAGCATTTGCCTAGCACGTTCAATGACCTGAGTTTGATCCCCAGTACTGCCAAGAGAAAAGTTCATTGCAGTGTTTGTAATTAAGAACAGTACAAAGGGGCTGGAGAGATGGCTCAGCAGTTAAGAACATGGGTTGCTCTTGGAGAGGACCCCCACGTTCAGCTTCCAGCACCCATACGGTGGTTCATAACCATCCCTAACTCCAATTCCAAGGGATTCAACACTCTCTCCTGACTTCCACGGGCACCAGGCATGCATGTAGTGCACATAACATTTACAAAACACGTATGCACATAAATGATCTAAAAAACAAATAGTATACAAATGTTGAATAATTTGTTATAAATGATAATTTATGTTGAGAATGGTTTATTAACATGTATTCACATGACATGATCCTATTAAAATTGGCATTTTCAGCCGGGCGGTGGTGGCGCACGCCTTTAATCCCAGCACTCGGGAGGCAGAGCCAGGCGGATCTCTGTGAGTTCGAGGCCAGCCTGGTCTCCAAAGCGAGTTCCAGGAAAGGCGCAAAGCTACACAGAGAAACCCTGTCTCGAAAAAAAACAAAAAAAAAAAACCAAAAAAAAAAAAAAAAAAAATTGGCATTTTCGATATTGGCATTTTGAATTCCAGTTAAGGAGTTAGGTAAAACGCAGGATTTAAAGTCATATACAGTATAAGTCTATTGTTTGTGTAGAGGCATGCATGCCAGTCAGGTGGAGGGCAACGTTACGGACTCAGTTCTTCTTTTCCACTTGTTTTTTTCAAGACAGGGTTTCTCTGTGCAACAGTCCTAGCTGTCCTGGAACTAACTCTGTAGACCAGGCTGGCCTTGAACTGAGATCTGCCTGCCTCTGCCTCCCGGGTGCTGGAGTTAAAAGTATGCGCCACCACCGCCTGGCTCCTTTCCCACTTTTATGTGGGTTCTGGAAATTGAACCCAGTTCACCAGTTTGTGTGGCAAGTCCCTTTATCCACTGAGCCATCTCATTGGACCCTTTGAAGCCTTTTGTTTTTTGTTTTTGTTTTTGTCAGAGCTGAGGACCACACCCAGGGCCTTGCGCTTGCTAGGCAAGCGCTCTACCACTGAGCTAAATCCCCAACCCCCCCTTGAAGCCTTTTTAAAAATTATTTTTATTTATGTGTATTGTGTGAGGCTGTATGTGTTTACGTGCAGTTGTTCGGGGAGATCAGAGAGCATCAGATCCCTTGGAACTTGAGTTACAGGTGGTTATAATTCACCTGATGTGAGTGCTGGGAACTGAACCCAGGTTCTCAAGAGCACAGTAAGAGCTCTTAACCACTGGGCCATCTTTCCAGCACCCTTTACATTAAAAAAAAAAATTATTGTGTGTGTGTGAATTATCTTAATTCTGAAAATGTACAGATTTAACATATTTAAGTCCTCAGAAATACTAGAAAAAGGCCCATCAACTAGTCTACATGGAAGACATTTTTCTTTACTTTGTATTTCTTTCTTTTTGGGGGGTGGGGAGAGGGGAGTTTCAAGGGATCCACCTGCCTCTACTGTGATTAAAGCCATGCACCACCACCACCCGACTTAGTCTGTATTTTTATAAAAAATTGTTTTGAAGACCAAAGGCTAAGAGAATTAAGTCTTTGTTGTATTATTATTATTACTATTTTTTTGTGGCACTCAGGATAGAACCCAGGATTTCAGCTTGCTAAACACACGTCCTACCAGAGCAATACCTTTAGCTACAAAAACCAATTATTAGAAATACTGCCATGAGCTAGACACCAAGCAAGGGAATTTCACCAATAATTTAATCTGCATAGCAATCATGGGAGACAGGCATCTCAGCTCCCACTTTACAGCTGAGTAAGGCTCCTCTATTTAAACGAATTGTCAGGTGCCCTAGATTCCAGCAATGTCCAGGTTTCCTGCTGTATCACACGCCTCACCTACTGCAGCTCCTGTGAGGCCCTCAGAGGTTTATAGGAAGGTCACTGACAGGAACAGCACCAAGTACTAAACCTCACTTCTCGTTCCCGAGGGTAAGAGACAGTCTTCCTCATTGCTAAGGCCCAAGGTTCACACTGAAGCTTTGCCCTATGCCCAGCTCCTCGCCTGCGTTCTCCCAGAGCACATTCTTCAGGGCCATGCTATCAGCTGGCTCGCTTACTGGTTTGGCATTTTGTTAGGTTATGAGCAGGGCAGCGTAAACTGCACACTCTGACCTGTTCCAGCCAGCTGGCTCCTTGGTCTCTTCCCTGGATACTAAAACAAACAAGCTCTGTGCTCTGGCTTCCTAACTCAGATTGGTGGGGGTGGGGGGAAAATCCCAGCTATGTGAACAATCAGAGGAATAGCTGGCAGCACATTTCTCTTTTATAGCTTTATTTTAACAAAATAATGTCTCCAAGCATCCAGTAGCTCGAACATATTCTAAGCCTTAATGTTCAGCTTATTGCATGCACCAACTTGGCTGCAGGGTCCCTAACCCCCAAATGGCTTTGTTCCAGATGGAGCTCTCATGACTGTTACTGGCCCCTTTCATGAAGGAGGAAGGGGTTATTTTCTCAATAGTTTCAAGGCCTCTTTATGGTTTCCTGTTCCCTCCCTGAGGCAGAGACAGGAAGTTACCTGGACAGGGTCACAGCAAGTCAGTGACATTCAGGATTAGAACATAAAGCCTGGGATACCACTTTATCCCCCAGCACCATGATTTATAATTTGAAAATAAATAAACTAAGGACTTTTTATCTAAGAAGAGAATGAAGGGGACTTGAGGAATAAGACACATGGGACAAATCTGGTTCTTTTTTGAGTCAGATTCTACTTTTTCCACTAAAAAAAAAAAAAAAAAAAGTGCATATTGATAAAAGTTTAAGAAAAACTGGGTTAAACCAAGTTGAACAGATTAAGTTGCTAAGGGACTTCTAAGAACTTTTAATGGGCTTATGAACACTGAATAGTTTATAATGAAAAGTTTTGTTAAATATAAAACTAATAAAAATAATAATAGTCAGCTATAAAGCTAAGGGTTTCATAGGCACCAGAACTCCATAAACAAGCTTCAGAAGAGCTGCTCCAGTGTGAGCCACAGGACTCTGTAACAGAAGACACCAAACAGACTTTTGCCACTAGCCATCACCCACTGTTTTCAAAACTGCAGTGCTGATCCAACAGGATTGTTACACTGTACTCTCCTGGTATTTTTCCACTTGCTGGTCAAAGTTCCTGGAAGAGAACCCTGCTTGGAAGAAACTCACTGGAGTAAGAAGGTATTTTAGCGCCAGGTCCCTGGACTCAGTAGCTAGATGAGTGTCTTTGCTAATGTGAGACAAGGGAGAATCATGGCCTACCCAGTCACTTTGGTTCCCTCTAGCTGGTGAGCCATGGCCTCCCCTAGGCATCACGGGAGACCCTAAGTCAATTTCCTTCCTGGTTTCTGGAGAGAGAAACTCATCTACAGGCTGTAATTGCATTGAAAATTCCAAGGGGGCAGGCAACACAGTCGCCATCTTCTCGGAGTCACGAAAAAGGATCGGCTCATCACATTCTTTCCTGCAGAAGTCTGGGAACAACTGCTTCCTGGCCTGCAGAGGATGGGGGTAGAGCTTCTCAAGGTCCCCAGGCCAGGGAGAGAGGTTTTCTTTCTTGTGCTTCTTTGAGTCTCTGTCAACTTTAGCCTGCTCAGCTTTTTCCTCAGGGGATTCAAACACAACACCCCGGATTCTTGGCCTCTTTAGTCTCCTTTTTAACTGCCAAAGCATGCTTGTTTCCCTAGAGGAGGAACACATGTATTGCTGCACAGAGTGTGGAATCAGGGGTATAGAGAGCCGGGGGCTCAAGCTGTCCTGAAAGAACTCTCCACAAGGCTGTTGGCGAACAATGGGCACCACCCGGCAAGGCCTCAGAGCTGCAACAAAAGCCCGAAGCTCAGAGTAAGATGAATGGTCAGAGTAAGGGATGGTGTGGATGTCTGGGTGAGGGCTTCGTATCTTCCGGCTTGTGGGGAGAATAGCAATGGTAGGGTGAGTCTGGTTCCACCGAAGCATGGCAGTATGGCAGATCTCCATACGGTCTACAGCATGGATGCGCCCAGCTTTTTCCTCGACTGTGAACACATCTGCGAGGCCCAGCAGCTGCACCACCTCCAGGCGTTGAGGACTCAACACCACCCAGGTCCGAAACTCAAGGGCTAGTTGCTCTAGCAGCTCTTCCTTTCCTATGCTGTGGAGTCCTAAATTATGTTCAGGGGGTGGGGAAGGAAGAGAAAGAAGATAATGAAGGTATTAAAGACTCCCGGTCAACCAAATGTTTAACCAAGATTCGTAAAATCTATGTGCAATCCAGGAAGTGTATCAAGAAGGAAATGCATTTAAGATACATAGCAGATGCAGGGATGGAGCACACAAAATCCAATTATCCTTCAGTTCAACAAGAGAAAGCATCTACCAAGCATTAGGCACTGTGGCAACAGGCAGATTGAGAAGGCTTACACTCTCCAGGAGTACCATCCACCTGCAGACTCAGAAACAATGTAATGAAGGGCAATGTCACACACAGGCAGGCATACAATGTTATAAAGGCACAGAAGTAGCTGCCAGTTGATGAAATTAGGAAAAGCTTCTATACAGCTGAGCCAGGTCCATTTTTTCTGGTAGGTGATGGAAAATTTAAATATTTCTTTGGGGGAGAAAACAACACACTTCCATTTAATAAAAAAAAAACAAAACACAACTCACTTGTGCTCACTTTGGCAGCACATGTACTAAAATTGGAATGATAAAGAGATTAGCATGGCTTCTGAACAAGGATGACATATACATTCATGAAGCATTCCATTTAAACAACAACAACAACAACCAAAAACCCCTCACTTTATCTATTAAGTCATGAATTCACAGATCAGCTCGGGCTCCTTTCCACTGGTTCCCACAAAGAGTACTTCTCTGGGCAGCACAGGTGGGCACGTCAGTTGAACCCAGTACTTTCCTCTTTGGCCCTTATCTTTCTGATCATTTTCCTTCACCTGTTCTCTATGTTCCCTCACTCCATCTAGTGCTTCATATACTCAATGCGTTTCAGTTCTCCTGGCAAGAATCTTATCTCTAACTTGCTGTTTACAACAATGCCAATAGCATTCTGGGTAACACTAGAGACTCTTCAGCTTTGCCACTGTAACAGTTACAGGACATTCCTTTTTGACTAGAACCCAATCCCTTAATGCCAAATACATCTCTGCCTGAACATTCACACATATGTAGTCAAAGGAACAACTCCATGTTTTCCAAAAGGCTTAGAGACTATACATCAGGTCCATTTCCTCTTCCCTTTGTGCTGGTCATTTTGGCAAACGGATGGAAGGTGATCACTCTGGCTGAAAGGAAACTGAGCTATATCTTAAAGGCTGGATCAGGGCTGGCCAGCAAGGAAAGGGTATAGTGGAAAATGTTTTAAGAGGAGCCACCTCAGTGTTACTAAAGTAAAGATGATTAGTGAGATATGACACCAGAAAGACAAGCCAAGGTCATTTATTAGTGGGCCTTCCAAGCAGTGAGGAGGAGTTAGGACTTAATGCTGTAGATGAGCAGGGGCTGCTCAACAGTGTGAGGTAGGAAAGTGATGGATTTGAACCATCAGAATACTCTGATCAAAATATGACTTTATGAAAAAATATCGCAGGACTGTTAAGTGCCTGGATGAGAAGTGGGTAGCAGAAGTTCCATCTGGAAGGACAAAAGGTGTGCACACAGAAGAAATGCAGACGTGAATTTTAGCAATGGCTGTGGTAACAGATACGGCAGATGGTATTTAACCATTGTTCTCAGACTTCACCGCCTCACCACTAAACCGTGAACTTAAAAAATGTTTGTTTTATATCCACTCCCCTTGATTATGATTCTAATTTACCCCTTTGAGCAAAAGGTTTTCTGCTCTCTCTATATCTTTTTCCTTCTTGGGGTCCTTCCTTAATAATCAGGAAGCTCTTAAAGTCAGACACCATATTTATTCAGATTTATATCTCTACTGCCTACTGGATATGTGGCACATTACAGGACTAATTATATTTTTGCAAAATTAATCAAGCCCTACCTACCACAGGCACTCTCCTAACCAGCTGTGCTTCTCTGAGAAAACGCTGCAGGTCACACTTCAAGAATGGTCAGAGAGTATTTCTTCATGAATGGTTAAGTCATCCTGAGGGTAGGCAACATTTCTCAATCAGTTTGGTAGCTACCCTGGGAGGTATATAGTTTTCTTCATTATTTTTATTTAAGGCCATTTTGAAACTCCTTTCAGAGTTGTGACATATGCTTTAAGACATTCATTTTCCTCTTTTGAGGACCTATAATTTTTGGAAGAACCAAAGACGTTATTTAGAACAAAAGCTGTTTTGTTTTTTTTTTTAAAGAAAAGTTGATTTTCATAAACTATCTTTTCAAAACACAGCTTCAAGAGTCTCAAAGATATTGAGTACCACTGTGGAGATACCAGAACAAGCAAATAGCTGTTTTCTCAACGCACCTATGTGAAGCACAGCAATCTCCTTATTCATTCACATAGCAAATATTTACTGACTATCTCTCTTGCATTATGTAGGCACCCTAAGAAATAAAGAATCTTGCCATGGGAGAACCTACACTCTAGCAGAGGAAACAGTAAAAATTAAAAGGAACGAACATGGAAACTATGGAATATATATTACAAAACAATTAAGTGGAATACTGTTCCTCTTCTACTTGGAACCACTCAACAGCTCTTTATTGAGATTAGAATCAATTCCACGCTGGGCGGCAGCGGCGCACGCCTTTAATACCAGCTCTCGGAGGCAGAGGCAGGCAGATCTCTGTGAGTTCGAGGCCAGCCTGGTCTCCAAAGCGAGTTCCAGGAAAGGTGCAAAGCTACACAGAGAAACCCTGTATTGAAAAACACCCCCTCCAAAAAAACCCCATCAGTTCCAAAGGGCTTACTACCCCTCCAAGCCCTCCTGCCTTTCAAGCCGGCTTGCCTGCTATGTATGTCACACTGGCTGCTGCTTCTCTGACACACAAAGCTTCCTCTCAGTTTTGGGGGGTTTCTTTTCTTTTTTAAAAACTATTTATTTACTTACTGGAATTATGGGGCAGCTGTGAGCTGCCATGTGGGTGCTGGGAATCGAACCTGGGTCCTCTGAAAGTGCAGTCTGTGCTTTTAATCAGTGAGCTGCCCCTCCAGCCCTCTTAAGGGTTTTTTTTTTCCTTCCTTGTTTCTTTCTTTCTCTTTTTTTCTTTTCTTCCAGTCAGGGTTTCTCTGTGTAGTTCTGGCTGTCCTGGATCTCACTCTGCAGACCTCAAACTCAGAGATCTGCCCATCTCTGGTTCTCAAGTGCTGGGATTAAAGGTGTATGCCACCACTGCCTGACTATCTTGAGGGTTCCTTAAGGAGTTATAGTTCACGTTGGTGTATGTGTACATTATCAGGTATATGTATACATAAGCAACAGCATATTTAAATAGGTGAAGAATATCATAAAAAATGAGTAAGTTTGGGGCTCAGGATGTAGTTCAGTTGACAGAGTGCTCGCCTAGCATGTACAAAACCCCTGGGTTAAATCCCAGCACCATACAAACTGGTCGTACTAGCACATGTTTGTAATCTTAGCACTAAAAATAAACACATTTTAAAGAAGAGGGTTGAATGGTACAGTACTTGCCTAACATATGTGAGACCCTAGATTTAATGCCAGAGCTGGAGGGAGGGATGAGAATGAAGATGGGCAGGTTCAATTTTACTTTTTTTGAGATAGGGTCTTTCTCACTGGAACTCACTATATAGAACAGGGCTGCTTCTATTTAATCCCAGCCTCCTGAGTGCTGGGATTAAAGGTTTGGGCCACCAGGCCAGCTGGGAGGTTCAATGTTCAATAAGATTATCATAGTAGGTTTTACAAGGAAGGTGAGACCTGCAAAGACTTGAAAACAATGAGAACCTCCAGAGAATTTAGACTCACTCAGCAGGAGTGAGAGAAACAGGGAACCACTCACCAATCTTTATGTGATGCTGTGGAAACTGTCGAATGAGCTGGACAATCTGCTGAGTAGCTTCTTGTCGGGAAGGAAGAACCAGGGCTGGATTGCAATTGGTGTTGTCTAGATATAAAGTATGAATCTGTTTCCCCAGGATCAGGGCAGGCTCCTTCAGCATGGATGGTGTGAATCGAAAATCACCTGGAAGAATATAGGAGGTGGGAGTAGGGGACAAAGACCAAGGATAGGAGACCAGCCTCTCCCACCTTTAGCAACAGATGGGCACTGGTTCCTGGTTTATGGAAAAACTGTTTCCTGGCACTGAACTGTACCTACAGTATAGCTTCTTTGTTAAAAAAAAAAAGTTTCGCCGGGAGGTGGGGGTGGGGGTGGGGGTGGTGGTGGTGGTGGTGGTGGTGGTGGTGGTGGTGGTGGTGGTGGTGCACACCTTTAATCCCAGCACTTGGGAGGCAGAGCCAGGTGGATCTCTGTGAGTTCGAGGCCAGCCTGGTCTACAGAGTGAGATCCAGGAAAGGCACAAAACTACACAGAGAAACCCTGTCTCGAAAAACAAAAACAAAAACAAAAACAAAACAAAAACAAAAAGTCTCTATCTTGCTCTTGTGGCTTTTTTTTTATTTGTTTGGTTGCTGTTTTTTGTTTTGTTTTTAAGATTTATTTATTATGTACATTGGGGTTTTTCCTGTATGTATATCTATGCAAGGATGCCAGATCCCCTGGAACTGGAGCTGCAGACAGTTGTGAACTGCCATTTGGGTGCTAGGACTTGAACCAGGGTCCTTTGGAAGAATAGCCAGTGCTCTTAACTGCTAAGCCATCTCCCCAACCCCCCTTGTTTGCTGTTTTCTGAGAGATGGACTCTCTCTACATAGGCCTGGCTGTCCTAGAATTCACTATGTAGACCAGGCTGGCCTTGAATTTGTAGAGATCCGCCTGCCTCTGCCTCCCGAGTACTGCGATTAAAGGCATGCGCCACCACCGTCTAGCACCACTGTCCGGCTACTTGCATATTCTTTTTTTTTTTTTTTTTGTTTGTTTTTCGAGACAGGGTTTCTCTGTGTAGCTTTGCGCCTCTCCTGGAACTCACTTGGTAGCCCAGGCTGGCCTCAAACTCACAGAGATCCGCCTGGCTCTGCCTCCCGAGTGCTGGGATTAAAGGCGTGGTTTAGACAGTCAGTCAGTCGAAAAGGGTCACTGTGCCTGTACGGGATGAAGCTTCAAGGCCTAGTCTTCTGAGTGAAGGCAGCTTCAGAAATCACACAGCTGGAAAGTGAGAGGAACTGTAGCACGAATTCTAACTGGTCTTAATAATAAAAACCTGGAGTCAGATATCAGGGTGAAAGCGGAAAGATCAGAGAAGCAGACCAGTCAGCCCCCCCCCCCCTTTTTTTTTTTCCAGCGCTGAGGACCGAACCCAGGGCCTTGTGCTTGCTAGGCAAGTACTCTACCACTGAGCTAAATCCCCAACCCCATTTTTTTGGTTTTTTGAGAGAGGATTTCTCTATATAGCTTTGGAGGTTGTCCTGGAACTCACTCTTCAGCCCAGACTGACCTCAAACTCACAGAGATCCGACTGGCTCTGCCTCTTGAGTGCTGGGATCAAAGGTGTGCGCCACCACCGCCCGGCCCTAGTTCTTACCTCTACGAAATCCTCAGACTGTAAAAAGGGGCAAGATCCTGTTTCTACAAATCCTCAGATTGAATCGGCCTGAGCTCCAGTCTCCTCCCACCTTATATTCCTCTCTCTGCCCAGCCCTATCACTTCCTGTCTCCACCTCCCTGGTGCTGGGATTAAAGGTGTGAGCCACCAGTGCCTGGCTCTGTTTCTCTTTTAGACTGGATCAATCTTGTGTAGCCCAGGGTGGCCTTGAACTCACAGAAATCCATCTGCCTCTGCCTCCCAGGTGCTGGGATTAAAGGTGTGTGCCTGGCCTCTATGGCTAACTAGTGGCTTAGCTTTGCAGTCTGATTTTCAGACAAGTTTTTTTTTTTTTTTTTTTTTTTTGAAAGATTTATTTATTAGCCGGGCGGTGGTGGCACACGCCTTTGATCCCAGCACTGGGGAGGCAGAGCCAGGTGGACCTCTGTGAGTTCGAGGCCAGCCTGGTCTACAGAGCGAGATCCAGGAAAGGAGCAAAGCTACACAGAGAAACCCTGTCTCGTAAAACCAAAAAAAAAAAAAAAAGATTTATTTATTATGTATACAGAAGAGGTGCCAAATCTCATTACAGATGGTTGTAAGCCACCATGTGGGTGCTGGGAATTGAACTCAGGACCTCTGGAAGAGCAGTTGGTGCTCTTAACCTCTGAGCCATCTCTCCAGCCCGACAAGCTTTATTTGTTAGAGCATATACAAAATATCACAAGGGACATCTGGGGGAGGCTCACCTGTGTAGAGAATTGTTCCAAAGTATCCTTCAAAGAGAAACATGACAGAACCCGGGCAGTGATTGGCATCTATAAGGGTTACAGTCATGGTTTCATGTCCAATTTCGTCTAGAGGCAATACATGGCTCTCACCAATCTCCAGAGCTCGGATCCACTGCTTAGACACCTGAGGAAACAGCTGGTTACCCTAGTAACCACAGACTCCTCTCCTGGACCAGGGACTAACATCCCAAGGAAAGCTGACCAAGTCCTGAAACACTCTCATGTAAGCTGTTATAGGGATTCCCAAACAATCTGTCCTTCCTCTTCTGGCTCCCCACCCTTTGTATCGATTTAAACTCAGAATCTGAAAATCTAAATAAAGATTCTCAAACTTTCTTCTGTCATAATCCCAGCAGGGGTGGGAGGCAACTGCCAGAGAAAATTCCAGTCAGGCTGCCAGGGCTCATACCAGCCATATCTACTCAATCAGACAAGATGAGGAGAGGTTAATGTGTTTTTTATCTAGCGCAATAGATGAATTACTGGGAGTGGGCGGTGAGTGTTGGGGATCTAAATTACGGTACTTGCAACATGTTTAACAAATGCTCTAGCAAGGAGCTACATTCTCAGTCTGGTGGATTCTTAAAAACAAATTGGGGAGACACTTTATGAAAAGACAGGAATAATTTCCTTGTCTAAATTTACAGCTAAAAATCTCTAGTCAGCTAGCTGGAGGCTAGTCTTATTCTGGGATCAACTCCCACATTTGCAAAAATTCAGTCTTTAAGGCGCCCACTCTGTGATCCCCAAGCTGTGACAGATCAGAAGTCCCCACCCAGATTCCTGAACTAGGTCTCAGAGGCCAAATCCAGCCCCAATACCTGTCGGTGACGATGCAGGAGGTGGGCAGTGATTGGGGAGCAGTAGAGGGGCCGTGCCCAAGTGCTAGACAGGCCCACCGTGTGGTCGGAGTGCATGTGGGATAAGAAGAAGAGCCGCGCACTACTAGCGCGGCGCAGGCTCCAAAAGTCCACAGCAATAGGCGTTTGGGGGATTACGACCCCGTTCATGGTGGCAGGGTTGGAAAGCCACCAGCGGGGTCTTCGCTGGAACAGCACTCCTGTGTGAGGCGTCCACGATAGCGTCCCGACGACATGCGGACGCAAGGGCAAGGGAAAAACAACCCAGAAGTGGAAGGAGTAGACAGAGTGAGCAAAAAGAAGGGGGCCCGCGCTCGGGACGGCCAAAGCGAAAGAGCCCAACGCGGAAGAAGCCCTGAGAGCCTCACTCAGCCGCGCGGGAACCCAGGCCCATACTTTGACCAAGTGCGCGCGGCGGCGAGGGGACAGACCCGAGTAGCCGATTTCCGATGGTCGGCCGCGGCTCCGGCACAGCCAGCTGCGCGCCTGCGCCGAGAGGGGAGTGGGTGGGGGAAGGGCGTCCTGAGGTCGGTCTCGCCTGCGCTCGGCGCTCGGCGCCACTAGGGCAGGGGCTCAGGGAAGTGTCAGGGCGAGGGGGCGGGACTTCCGCAGGAAGCTGGCTGGGCCGTTGTGTGATGGCCTCGGCGGCTAGGCCTGAATGGGAAGGCTGTACTAGGTCTGCCTCTCGCTGGTGGGGTAGCGAATGCCTCACCGGGCCTAGAGATAGCTGAGGAGATGTGCTGGGCAGAGCGAACGGCCCGCGGGGCTCGGGTCGGCGCCTGAAGGGCCAAGGCCCGGGCTCGCTGGAGGCCCGCGGGGTGAAGTATACGGTCCGCTCTGGCCAGGCACTGCCGAGTGACAACCTCGCCTTTAGTGTTGTCGCTGACCACGTTTCCTTCACTCAGGCTCCCACCTCAGGACTAGAAGGAGCCCACGAGTTCCCCACGGGTCTGTGGAAACTGTCCCGTGACTGTTGGCGAAGATGCCATACCTTGGCTCCGAGGACGTGGTGAAGGAACTGAAGAAGGCTCTGTGTAACCCTCACACTCAGGCTGATAGGCTGCGCTACCGGAATGTCATCCAGCGAGTTATTAGGTATCACCAACCCAAGAATTCTAACTCCCGCCTCCACCTTCCCCACCCTGCCCTGCTTTTAACCCTCCTCAGGGCTCTCCACCGGCCACCGCTCTGAAAAAGTCCATGAACCTTCACACATGGCAGTTGTATCTTTTGGCCTTGAGACTGCATTTCTTGCATTGTCACTTCGGTCTCCCTACCCAGCTGAGAGGTTTCCTTCATGTCACAGACTTCAGCAGTTCTGCCGCTGACCCCTGGTGCAATGACTTACTTAGTACAGCTCTCCATTTTTGTAAGATTCAGACCTATATGTCCCTCTGCTTGCCTGGCATTTTTACCTGGATAGTTCTTCAAAGATAGGGCCAAAATAGTACCAGCATTCTTCTCCTCCTCAAACCTGCTATTTTGCCTGGATTTGTGTTACAAATGTCACCAGGCATCCCACTAAGCATGATAGTCAACTTTGACGGCACTACCCTTCACTTCAAGTGTCAGGTAGTATGAAAAATTCTAAATATTCACTCTTCGTTATTAATACTGTAGTGTTGGCTCAGGCCAACATTACCAAAGCTTATTTTGGTAGTTTATTAATAAGTGACCTTGTCTCCTCACTTCTGTTAGGATTTTTCTATTATATACATTTGAATACATAATCTGTAGCTATAGCTCAAAAATGTTAGTAGAGACAAAAGTCCCTTGGGATGCTTTTGAAAAAGTGTGACCTCTAGGGATTGATTCTGATTTTGTTAGGATGAGATAGAATCCAGGGACTGTGTTTTAAATAAACATCTTAGCTGATTCTATATAATAGTTTGGTTTCACATTAGAAACATAATCAGTGAAATGAAGTCCAAACTCTTTATCATGTCACCCAAGGAACAAAATGAATGTTCAGTTCTTGTTCGTGCCTTATGGCATGTATCATTAACTGTATCACATTTGCCTTGTGAGCTGGTCATTTAGCTATTCTGTGAAGAAGTGTTTTCTGACTGCCACAGCAGCATGTGGACGTGGATCTTCTTGGTCTGTGTTCTGTGCATTATTCAAGTACTTTACACTGGAGGTTTGAAATCAGTGATGTTCTTGGCTGGCTTCTTAGTTGATATTGAATTCCTAAACATCTGAAGCTACCTCTGCTCTGTTTGGTTTTATTTTGCTCCAGACAGCCCTGGCTGTCCTGGGAACTCACTATGCTGACCAGTCTGGCCTCAGACTCACAGAGGTCCACCTGCCTATGCCTCCCAAGTGCTCAGATTGTAGTTGTACATCACCATGCCTGGCTTTTTATTTTTACTTTTTAAAAAAAATGCATATGTATGAGTGTTTTTCCTGCATATGTTAGTACACCACGTGTATGCTTGGTGCCTATGTATGTCAGAAGGCATCAGATCCCCTGGAACTGTAGTTATGGATGGTTATGAGCTACCATGTGGGTGCTGGAAACTGAACCCAGCTCATTTGCAAGAGCAACAAAATACTAGCTCCCTCTCCAGCCTGTACCTTCAAAAGATGTCCCCATATCATATCTCTGAAATATTAAAGTTGAATGTACCATCCCCATATCATTTCATTGGAATGTACTAAGGATTCAACAGTGCTGAACTCATAGAGCAACAGTTGCAGGCCCATAATAGGAAGTTTTGTGTGATGTAATAGACAAGGTAGACCCAACTATACCTCTCTGAAAGATCATAATTTAGTTAGATAACCAGAATGTATATAAATAAAACTCCTCTTACAGATTGGAGATTGTGTGTTTTACTTCTTTCTGCTCTGTATATTCCTTATAGGCATATGACTCAGGGCTTGGACATGTCTGGTGTTTTCATGGAAATGGTGAAGGCCAGTGCCACTGTAGATATTGTTCAGAAAAAGTTGGTTTATCTGTATATGGGCACATATGCACCTTTGAAACCAGATCTGGCGCTCTTGGCCATCAATACACTATGTAAAGACTGCTCAGACCCCAACCCAATGGTGCGAGGACTGGCACTCCGGAGCATGTGTAGCCTCAGGTGAGCACTTTACCCCCTGTCTGGTCCTCAGTGGCTGATGAATTAGCAGATTCTTAATGAAAACAGCTTAAGCTCCCTAATACTAAGGAAAGTACTGTTCTTCCTTGAACTCAAATTTTCAGCCATTGCTTTGACCTTCTAAACTGTGTCTAATGGTTTTATTAAAAGTGGTTTCCTTTATCTTGGTAAAATAGTTCTGAGTTTCAGTTAAAGATAATCAGTTATTACTATAACAATTTGTGCTGGCTCTGCAGCATTATTCCAAACAAAAAGTCAAATTATGGCTTTTTAAATTTAATAGAGGCTTTCTCCAATTTCTTGTGATCTAATAGATATACATTCAAACATGAATTATTAAATCATACTTAAACTAAACCTGTTAATTGAAGAAGAGCTTAATTATGTCAAAGCTAGTATTTCAAGATCTGCCTGACTCTAGGATGTTTCTTTAGGATGCCTGGTGTGCAGGAGTATATCCAACAGCCTGTCCTTAATGGTCTGCGGGATAAGGCTTCCTATGTCAGAAGAGTGGCAGTCCTTGGCTGTGCCAAGATGCATAATCTTCATGAAGACTCTGAAGTGGGTAAGATCATCTGCCATGCTCAATATGTATTTGTCTCTATTGTGTGTGTAATTTTGGAAGAAAAAACTGTCTTGCTTGGTAGAAAATAATAATGTGTCTCCATGACTATGCATGTCTTTCTAAATCAGATGCTTGCTTTTTTTTTTTTCATGTTTTTTGTTTTAGCTTCTCTTTTCAGCCTTTGAAAGAAATTAATTTCTTTTTTTTTTTCTTTTTTTTTTTTTTCGAGACAGGGTTTCTCTGTGTAGCTTTGCACCTTTCCTGGGACTCACTTGGTAGTCCAGGCTGGCCTCGAACTCACAGAGATCCGCCTGGCTCTGCCTCCCGAGTGCTGGGATTAAAGGCGTGCGCCACCACCGCCCGGCTGAAATTAATTTCTTAATTTGTGTGTCCTGTCTGATACTGAAAATGATGTTGTTTGTTTTTGCCTTTGGTTTTTGTTTTTATTTCGGTTTTGTTTTTGTATTAGCAGAGACATAGCTTTTTCTGCCCAGAGCTGTTCCTCTGGTTCTATCCATATGACTCAAGTTTTCCTTGATTTGTAATCTTTGGTCTTTGTTTTAGATGGTGCTCTGGTCAATGAGTTATACAGTCTCCTGCGTGACCAGGATCCAATTGTGGTTGTGAACTGCCTGAGGTCTCTAGAGGAAATTTTGAAACAGGAAGGAGGTGTTGTCATTAATAAGCCCATTGCACACCATCTCTTAAATAGGTTTGGATGCTCTTTTTATTATGAGATATGAATCATGGTTAGATCTTGTTGATGAATTAAACTAAGTCTTACTTTATTATTGTGTATGATGGATGGGGCTGGTGATTTGGGTTTAAAGTATGAAGGTCAGTAGAAACTTAGAGGAGCTGATTCTCTCCTTCCATTTTCATGTGGGTTCCAATAGAGCTCAAATCATCAGGCTTACACAGCACACACTTTTACCCACTGAGCCATTTTGCCAGCCTAGACTTCAAGTTTACTGTAATTATTAATTTCCTCATATTTCATTGAGAGAAGTTCTTTTATCTGACTAACTTTTCTTAATATGTAAAGATGGTAGAAACAAGCTGTGGAGAGACATTCGTTCTGTAGTACCTATTATGCCCCCAAGACTAAGCCATTTACCTTAAAATTTAGAAAATCTGGGGTCTTGGAGAGATGGCTCAGTGGTTAAGAGCACTGACTGCTCTTCCAGAGGACCCAGGTTCAATTCCCAGCACCCACATGGTGACTCACAACTGTAGGGGAAGTTCCTTGGTCCCGCCTAGACCCACAGTTCGGACAAATCTCTCCCACCCGAGCTCTCACAGCCACTTAAAATAATCACTCAGAGGCTTATATTAATTACAGACTGTATGGCCTATGGCTCGGGCTTCTTGCTAGCTAGTTCTTTCATCTTAAATCAACCCATTTCTATTAGTCTATATGTTGCCATGTGGATGTGGTGTTATCAGTCTACTGGCATCTTGTTGCTTCTTGGGCAGCAGGCTGGCATCTCCCCCAACTCTACCCTTCATCTCTATCTTCCCATCCCATTAGTTTGAATGTACCACCTAACCTTATTCTGCCTCACCATTGGCCAGACAGCTTTATTTATCAACCAGTGAGAGCAACACATATTCATAGCGTACAGAAAGACATCCCACAGCACACAACTACCTATGACCCAACACCCTCTGCTGACCTCCTAGGGGACCAGGCCCACATGCAGTACACTTAAATGTAGGCAAAATACTCATACACATAAATAAAAATAAATAAACCTTGGAAAAAATATAGAAAATATGAAATTAGAGGTATAATATAGTTCAGCAGTAAAATATTTGCTAGAAATAGGTGTGGTGTCACACACTTTAATCCCAGCACTTGGGAGGCAGAGGCTGGTGGATCTCTGTGAGTTCAAGGCCAGCCTGGTCTATAAAGCAAGTTCCAGGACAACCAAGGCTACACAGAGAAACCCTGTCTGGAAAAAAACAAACAAAAACAAAACAACAAAAACCCAATACTTGCTAGCATGTATGATCCCTGGGTTCAGTCTCCAGTACTGGAAAAAAATTAATTCAGAGACTCTGGATCTGATATATATTGATCGTATCTAGACAGGTATGCACTTGTACCATCAAGTTGTCTTGGAATTTCTTTTTAAGATTAATGTTTGATTTTTAATTGTGTGTATGTGCATGTGTGTGTGTTTGTATGTGTGTAGATGTGTGCATGTGAAAGTAGATGCCCCCAAAGGCCAGAGGGGTTGGATCCTCCTGGAGTGGGAGTTATAGGTGATTGCCAGCCACCTGATATGGTTGTTTGCTGGTGATCAAACTCATATCCTGTGGACGAGTAGTACATGTTCTTACCCATTGAGCCATATCTCCAGCCCCCTTAGAATTAAAAAAAACAAAAAACAAAAACCTCATTGTTATTATTATTGTGTGTGTGTGTGTGTGTGTGTGTGTGTGTGTGTGTGTTGTGTCTGTGTGTCCGTGTAAGCATGTGCCATGGCATATGTGTAGAAGTCAGAGGACAACTTTGGGAATCATTTCTTTCTTCTACCATGTGTGTTCTGGAGAATGAACTTAGGTAGACAGGCTTGGAAACAAATGCCTTTCCTCATTGAGCCATCTAAACAGCCTTTGTTGTGGACTGTAAAATTTATGTTTTAAAGTGCAAAAAGAATTTGATCATGGCATAATCTATTTTAAGAATTCTCTCCCCCTTTTGTTATGATGAACAGCTATTTGGTTTATGGTAGTTGTATGGAGAATGTTCCATTTGTTATTAAAATAGTTCCTTTGTTTTCATTTTCGACAGAATGTCCAAACTGGATCAATGGGGCCAGGCTGAAGTATTGCACTTTCTGCTCCGCTACCAACCCCGAGGTGAGGAGGAGCTGTTTGATATTCTCAATTTGTTGGACAGCTATCTCAAGAGCAGCAGCACAGGTGTGGTGATGGGAGCCACCAAACTCTTCCTGATCTTGGCAAAAAAGTTCCCCCATGTACAAACTGATGTGCTTGTACGAGTCAAGGGACCCTTGCTGGCTGCCTGTTCTTCAGAGAGCCGTGAGCTCTGTTTTGCTGCTCTCTGTCACGTCCGCCAAGTCTTGCACAGTTTGCCAGGTCACTTCAGCAGTCACTACAAAAAGTTTTTTTGCTCTTACTCGGAACCCCACTATATCAAGCTACAGAAGGTGGAAGTGCTGTGTGAACTGGTGAATGATGAGAACGTGCAGCAGGTTCTAGAAGAGCTTCGAGGGTACTGCACGGATGTGTCTGCTGACTTTGCACAGGCTGCCATCTTTGCCATAGGTAAAGTACCTGCTGCTTTTTTTTCTTGTGACCCCAGTTCAGCCAGCTTAAAAAAAAAAAACGTGTAGTCAGGGAAACCATAGAGGACAGTAGTAAATGAATCTTGTTTCAGAGACCGAGTATCATGAATTTTGGGTCAAAGAGTTGTTTTGTTTTAAATCAAGGCAGATGTTTCTCAAGGTAGACAATACAGGTAACTCGGACAACAACGTTTAACAATTTGTACTGTCTTTATGCTATCTTCTATCCAAAATGTTTTTATGTATATCATCTTATGGTCTTGTAAGGCAGTCAAAAATAGTGTGTACTTACTTTAAAGATGAAGAAACTTAGGTACAAAAAAAAGGTCACTAAGTAGCCAAAAGATCATAGAGTTTCCAAACTGAATGGCACCCAACTCTCTTGACTAAAAATCCTCTGCTTCCATTATGGGCAATATAGTGCTAAGTATAGACCAACATAGAATAATTCCTTAATTTTAGAGATTTTCTGACTGCTTAGTCTGGAACCCAAAAGGCTTGAAAGAGTCAAAGGATGAAAACAGTGGACAAACAAGATTGAGAGAGCTAACACTAAATAGAGGAGCATGAGGAACCTCATATTTGAAAGATAATAAAAATTCTTAGACTTAAAAGATTGCTGTCACATCTCTCCAGCAGTAGTATTCCTATTCAGGTGTGTTGCATCCAGAAGGGTGCCTCAGTCAAATGTGGTATGTGCCTGTGATTCCAGCACTCAAGAGAATCACAAGTTCAAGGTCACCCTACGTGGTATAGCAAGAGCCTGTCTCAAACGAACACACCACAACTGCATCCCGTACTTTGTTATTGTGCTTTCAGCCTTGTGCTATGGGGATTTTTTTTTTCTTTTCCTTAAAGTTTCTTTAGGTCAGTTGAAAAAAACTTATTTTATTTTAACCATAGTTCACTGTGCCTCAGTGAACTTAGATTCTTACTTTATTGTAATTAGTGATTTTTTTTTCTTTTAAAGATGTCTTTGGTTATTGTATTAATTATTTTTCTTGTTCCTATGACCAAAATGCCTGATATGACGCTGCTTAGGAGAGAAGAATTTGGGCTGGAGAGATGGCTCAGAGGTTAAGAGCACTGACTGCTCTTCCAGAGGTCCTGAGTTCAATTCCCAGCAACCACATGGTGGCTCACAACCATCTGTAATGAGATCTGGTGCCCTCTTCTGTGTACATAATAAATAAATAAATCTTTAAAAAAAAAGAATAATTTATGTTGGCTTACTGTCTTCGGGGCTGCAGTCCAACATGGCAGGAGTGTGAGGCAGTTGGTCATATTGCTTCATTCAGGAAGTAGAGAAGGATGAATGCTGGTGCTAAATTCACGTTTCCTTTTAATTCATTCTGGGATCCCAACCCACATGATGGTGACTTCCACATTCAGGATGAGTCCCCTCTTTTCAGATAAACCTTTGTGGAAACACTTTTACAGACATACCTATAGGTGTGTTTCCATGATGGTTGTAAATCCAGTCAAGTTGACAGAGAAGATAGACATAAACATTGTTGTCTTTTTTGTTTTTCTTTTCTTTTTTTTTTTTTTTTTTTTTTGGTTTTTCAAAACAGGGTTTCTCTGTGTAGCCTTGGCTGTCCTGGAACTCACTCTGTAGACCAGACTGGTCTCAAACTCACAGAGATCCACCTGGCTCTGCCTCTCGAGTGCTGGGATTAAAGGCCTGTGCCACCACCACTACCACCGCAAGGCTTGTTTTTCATTTTTAAACCATAGTTTAGTGTAGTCCAGACTAGCCTCTAATTTGTGATCCTTGTGCTACAGCATCTCGGCTTCAGGGATTACAGGTGTGCAAGTTGTGTTCGCCTCTGACTAATGGGAAATGGTTTTAGAATGACATGCTAGAATTTCACCTTTCCATCCTCTGTAGGTAGCATTGCCAAGACTTACACAGACCAGTGTGTACAGATTCTAACAGAGTTGCTGGGGCTCCGACAAGAACACATCACTACGGGTAATACCTGCTTTTCTAGAATCAACCTTTCTTTCTTTCTTTCTTTCTTTCTTTCTTTCTTTCTTTCTTTCTTTCTTTCTTTCTTTCTTTCTTTCTTCCTTCCTTCCTTCCTTCCTTCCTTCCTTTCCTTCCATCCTTCCTTCCTTTCCTTCCTTCCTTCCTCCTTCCCTCCCTCCTCCCCTCCCTCCCTCCTTTCTTTCTTTCTTTCTTTCTTTCTTTCTTTCTTTCTTTCTTTCTTTCTTTCTTTCCTTCCTTCCTTCCTTCCTTCCTTCCTTCCTTTCTTTCTTTCTTTCTTTCTTTCTTTCATCAGGTACCTAGCTAACAGTAGTTGTTTAAAGAATCTCTTTTCTTAAATGACTTTCAATTATATGGGCTTAAACATGTCCTTGCATCATCATCTGTTGCTGTCCGAGAAGCATGGGCTCTCTAGAGTTAACAGTGTAGACTCTTCTGGCTGTTGGAGTGACAAGGCTGCACTGTAGATAGTGAAGGTACTAGGAGGCTCTCTTTATCTTTACCCCTCTTTTTACTTCACCCAGCTTCCAAGGCTGGGCTGAAGTGAGGCAAAGAAGGCTCCTACAGTGTAAAATTTAGCAAAGCCTTGTGTCAGGCTTGTGCACGTGCCAGTCTCGGGTGTCATCTTAAATCTTGCATTTAGACACCTTGCTCATTCCACCAGTCTCAGCACTGTGTTCAGTGTCTGTCAGCAGCACTACCCCACATTTGCCCACAGTGTTGTATGTACAAAGCGCTTTGCTATTTGTTCACTTACCTTCATGTCAGTTTGATAGGTGTGAAATTCATGTGTATCTTCCACTTCTCAATTAATTAATAACCACCCCTCCAAACCTGTTTTTCAGAAATACAGGTAGAAATCTAATCTGAATACCTGAGTCTTCTTAAGCTTCTTTCCTGTATGGACTCTCACCCTGTGCTCTTGTGTTCTGGGCTCTATTGTAGTGGTGGTGCAGACTTTCCGAGACCTGGTTTGGTTGTGCCCTCAGTGTACGGAAGCTGTGTGTCAGGCCCTGCCCGGCTGTGAGGAGAACATTCAAGACAGTGAGGTAGAGTGTAATTCTCTTGTCACTTGTAATCATAGAAGGGATTGTAGGACCCTGCCTTCTGAAGTGGAGTCTGTATTTGGTTTGGTTTTGTGGTGCTGGGGATCACACTCAGGCTAGGTAAACACTTCTACCACTGAGACAGTATCTAGCCCTGAAATGGAAGCTAATTACTGTTTAAGATTCTGTGTCCAAGTAGGAACTCAGGCTTGCTTATGTCTCTTTGGGACATAAATAACTCAAAAATTATAAAAAGACTTATCTATAGTTTCAATTATAAATTCTTTGATACCATTGTCCTCTTGAATAATTATGAGTCAGAGATTTACACCATGGAATATTTTTGTTGGTGGTAGGTTTTTTGTTTATTAAGTTTTGACACAGGGTCTCACTGTATAGCCCTGGATGGTGTGGTACTCGGTATATGGACTAGACTGCCTTGCCTCTGCCTCCTGAGTGCTAGGATGAAAGACGTGCTCTTCTATGTCTGGCCTGCGTAGTATTTTTTGTTTGTGGGGTTTTTACAGAAATTTGTTTCCTTCCTCCCCACAGAGCCTGCTGAGTTAAATATCTAGGAGTGGGGAGACCTAGACAGATGGGCTTTTAAGAAACATCACAGATGATTCTGGTATATATTCTAAGTTAATAATCACTTTCATAAAAAGATTTCAAGAAATTCTTTCAGTAGTTTTTTGAAACATGAAACCTCACTTTTGATTCCAGCACTTGGGAGCAGAAGCTAGTGGATCTCTGTGAATTTGAGATCAGCTTGGTCTACATTCTAAGTCCACAACAGCCAGAGCTACATAGTTGAAAAAACAAACAAAAAAAGAAACATTAAATTGGGCCAGGCAGTGGTGGTGCATGCCTTTAATCCCAGCACTCAGGAGGCAGAGCCAGACGGATCTCTGTGAGTTTGAGGCCAGCCTGGGCTACAGAGTTAGTTCCAGGAAAGGCGCAAAGCTACAGAGAAACCCTGTCTCGAAAAATCAAAAAACAAAACAAAAAAAACCCTTAAATTGGGCAAAAGGCCCAAACTGAGAAAGCTTTATTTATTGCTTAATCATCATAGGCTAACGAAAGTTTTGAGTTTCCCTTTATGCATTATAGCATTTTTTCTTTGTTTCTCTCTCTCTCTCTCTTTCTCTCTGCCTCTTTTTGATAGTGTCTTCCATAGCCCAGAATAGTGTCTTATATAGCCCAGGCTGTCATCAAACTCACTGTGTAGCTGACTTTGACGCTGGATTCTAATCCTCCTGCCTCCATCAGCTGAGTGAGGGGTTATAGATGTGATCCTCACACCAGATAGGGTTTCTCTGTGTAGCCGTGGCTGTCCTGGAACTGGATCTGTAGACCAGGCTATCCTCAAGCTCAGAGATCCGCCTGCCTCTGCCTCTTTAGTGCTGGCATTAAAGGCGTGGGCATCAAACTCAGGTCTTATGCCTGCTAAGTCGGCATTTTGCCAACTGCACTGCATCCCTAACCACAAAGCTCATGTGCACTAGAATTTCATTCTTGTTTAGTTTAGAGAAGTAGTGGAGCAGGACAGCAAGTTAATACCAGTGAAAGGGTATAGTGTATGTGCTGGCACTAGGGAAAAAGCAAAGCCTGTGACTGTACTGTTTCCTCTGTTTGGGCAGCCACATAGTAAGTATTTATTATTTTCTCATTCCTAGGGGAAACAGGCACTTATTTGGTTACTTGGGGTCCATGGAGAAAAAATATCCAATGCTCCTTATGTGTTGGAGGACTTTGTAGAAAACGTGAAGTCAGAGACATTTCCTGCTGTTAAGATGGAGCTGCTGACTGCACTAATGCGCCTCTTCCTTTCGCGTCCTGCAGAGTGCCAGGACATGCTGGGACGTCTATTGCATTACTGCATAGGTAGGTTTCCCAGAGCATAGTACTTGCTGAGACTCATGCTAAAAGTCCTCACAGCTTTCATTGTCTGGTACATCATGTCTGGGACTTGGGAAGGAAATGACACTTTGTAAAGAATCTTGCTTTCTTCATTTTTTCTCCTCTTATGGTTGGCACAAAGGGTGGAGGAGAGTAGGGTGTTTGTTTGTTTAACTCTTTGATCCATTGTTTTCTCTCAGAGGAAGAAAAGGATATGGCTGTACGAGACCGAGGTCTCTTCTATTATCGCCTCCTGTTAGTTGGCATTGATAAAGTTAAGCAGATCCTGTGTAGTCCTAAATCTGACCCTTCTCTTGGACTTTTGGAGGATCAACCAGAACGACCTGTGAATAGCTGGGCTTCAGATTTCAATACACTGGTGCCAGTGTATGGCAAAGCCCACTGGGCAACTATCTCTAAATGCCAGAAGGTAGAGCGTCATCGTCTTGAGCTACCTCCCAATGCATCCTTGGCCAAACCAGGTAAAAATAGTGTTTACTTTACATCTCGTCATGATAAAGCTTTTCACCACTCCTTGTGGTAACTGGTGGAAAGTAAAATACTGTAGCTAAATTTTATACTGTTGTCTGAATTTGAATCCTTTGTGGGCATGAGGGGAGTTCATCCTTGGTTATTTAAGCCATTTATCTGACGACAGAAGTCATAGTATAAATGTGTTTTGCTTTTGATGTTTATGAGACACAATATGGCCTTGAGCTGGCTGTGTACCCAAGGCTTCCTTTGTAGCCTTGAACCTCCTGCTTTCATCCCCCACCCCAAGTACTAGGAGTACAAGTGGGTACCACCATGCCCAGCAACACATTGGGTATTTTGGAATGTAAAGTAAAAATGCTGATTAAGAGCATCTCTTATAAAAGCTTTCTGACTCTTTTAGGTCACTTGATTTCTGAAGAGAACAAACAAGGAATACAAGAATCTCTTGATCCTGAAGCTCTCATGCTGGTCCCCAATCTCCAGCTTACTGCTGAGTATTTTGAGAAAACATGGCTTAACCTCAAAGTTACTCATCAACAGGTGTTTCCTTGGCAGGGAGAAGTCCAGCCTGACACTCTCCAAATGGCTCTAAAAGTAGTGAACATTCAGACCATCGCAATGAGCAAGGCTGGGGCACAGCCCTGGAAAGCCTACCTCAGCGCTCAGGATGATGCTGGTTGTCTCTTCTTAACTGAATTACTGTTAAAGCCTGAGAACTCAGAAATGCAGGTCTCTGTGAAAGAGACTGAGGCGAGGACTGAAGCACTGCACGGTTTTGTTGCTGTGCTAGAAACTGTGATTGGAACAGTTGGAGACATAAAATCCTGAGTCCTGCTGCGTGCCTTGCAGTGAGGTGAACAGCTTTCAGAGTTCCTCCATTTTCTCATAGAGCTGCTTCTGAGTCCACGTATCAGATGCAGAGAGTGGGCAGTCTGGGAATCCCGGCTTTTGTGTTCACCCAAAGGCTCCTCCCTTGTTCCCTTCCAACCTGTCAGGGATTGAGCCCATTTTAAAGGAGAACGTTACACACAGTAGTATTGATAAGGGGTAAAGGTGGGACGAGGATAGGATGGGGATTTTTCTCTGATCATTTTAGGGGTTGTATTTATTAAATATACCTGGCACCTGTGGGAATTGGTAGCTGTCATCATTTTTGAGGGTGTTTTTTTCTTCAGTAAACTGTTCTTATATTTTTAGGCATGCTTTTTAGGTTAGGATCCCAAAACCCTTACTGTGGCATCTAAAGTACCTCTTCAGTGTTGTGGCTCACCACTCCTGAAACACCCTCTATTCTGACAGGGTGGTTTACAAAGAAGAAAACAAAAAACTGGTTTATTGCGGTGCTCTGAGTGCTCTTTCATCCGGGCCTTAACATCTACTTCTTCCCTAGAGCAGTTCCTTGCTCTCGTGTCTCAGCACATAGTGTGTCTTTCTTAGTTCTGAGCTCTTTCAGGATGTTTTTCTGTGACACTCATTGCCTTCATTATTCAAGCTGTCAAAGCTGCCATGCAGGAACTGAGGATGTAGCTCAGTTGTAGAGTACTGGATTAGCATGCACAGACCCCAAGTTCATAAAACGGAGTAGAGTGGTACACACCTGTAATCCCAGTGCTCAGGGGGTGGAAGCAGGATGATTAGCAGTGCAAGGTCAGTGTCAGCTGCAGTAGGACATTTGAGGCCAGTGTGGGACACGTGAGACACTGTCAAGAAGAAAGATCCTGGTGAGACAGATGGCTTAGCAGGGAAGGTGCTTGCTGCCAAGCCTGCAAAACTGAGGCCATCCCCTGACCCACGTTGTTGAAGGAAAGAACCAGTTCTCTGATGTCCATCCACATGTGTGCTGTGGCACAAAGTATGCTCCACTACATTCAATAAATACATTTTTTAAAACTAAATTAAATTTTTTTTTAATGATCTGGCATGATGATTTAGTGGATAAAGCACCTATCACTATGATGACCTCAGATCAATCCCCAGGACCCATGTGATAGAAGGAGAGAACTGGCTCCCAGAGAGTGTTGTCTGACCGCCGTTCATACACAGTCATGTGTGTGTGCCCCTCCCCCCAAATAAATAGTAACTATTAAAGATGTTCTTAAGTTGGTATTCATACTTCTAGCAGCTCTATTGCCATTGTTTTCTTATTGTTTGTGCTCAGTTTTTATTTTACTTATGCTCAACTGTATTTTATACAGTGATGTCACTCATGCTGTAGATGCAACAGAATAACAGCAAGCTGTCTTAAGACCAAACTATCCAGAAAGGGGAAAATGAAACATCAGTTAATCCCAGTGTGTTGGAATGGGGAAACAGACAGATACTTAGAGTACAGAGCTGAGACATTAGCCTCAGAATTGGCTTTATAAGTGATTTGGTAGTCAGAATGAAGGGAAGCATTTTTTGGTCATCAGATTTTTTTTTTCTTACTACATTTATTTTGTGTGTGTGTGTGTGTGTGTGTGTGTGTGTGTGTGTGTGTGTGTGTGTGTGTGTGTGTGTAAATGTGCCATGGTACATGTGTGGAGGTCAGAGGACCTGTGGGTTCTGGGTATCTTCAAGTTTTGTAGTGATCCCCTTTGACTGCTCAGCCATCTCTCCAGCCCTGTCATCAGATTTTAGTTTGTAAAAGAAATGTACGTTTAATTCCATGGCTGACATGAAATGATATGTACAGGATCCTATAGGAAGTTAGTAAGGCGTTCCATATGACAGATTTTCACTATGAAATCAGAGAACATAACAAACTCAGCTTAAGGCACATCTTTGAGGGCTTATTTCATCAATTAGCTTAGTTCAAGAATTTCTATCTAAATACATGAATTGCATGGTGGGCTTTGGTTTTGTGTTTTTTGAGACAGGATCTTAATGTGTAGCCCTAGCTACCCTGCCACTTGTTATGTAGACCATTCTGGCCTCAAACTCAACAGAGATCCTCCTGCCTCTGCCTCCTAAGTGCTGAGATTAAAGGCTCATGCCATCATGCCTGGTTAATTTATCTTAACAGATAATTTTTCAGTCATGATTTCTCTCAACTAGGTTCTTCATAGAGTGAATGGTAGGTAGTAGTAAATTGTTTAATAAGAAAGAGCCTATTTTGAGGAGTTGCTTGTTAAGTAGTCTTCGCAGCTGAATAATTCTAAGGGCAGTGAAGGTCTTGTTCCTTTATGTCTACAATACATTCACCATAATATTTCTTAGTGAATGTTTGTTGAATGAATAACTATAAGTAATTAGACAATGGTATTCTTAAACTACTTATTTGTGCATGTATATGTGGATGTAGGAGTGCCAGAGTGTGTGTTTAGAAGTTAATACAACTTTTTTTCTCTTTCCATTGTGTGGGTAATAGGAACTGAACTCAGTATATCAGGCTTGGCATCAAGCAGCTTTACTCACTGGACCATCTTATTGGCCCCAAGACTAATCTGAGATTGATGTTTGAAGTATGTTTTATTATATTCTATTAACTATACAGAAAGTAATGGAATTCCATCTAGGCCAGGATTTCATTTCTTTTCTTTTCTTTTTTTTTAAATTTGTGTTTATTTTGTTTTGTTTTTTTTCAGACTGGGTCTCACTATGTCATTATATAGACCAGGCTGGCCTTGAACTCAGAGATGTGCTGCCTGCCTCTGCCTTCGGAGTGCTGGGATTAAGGCATGTGCCACCACTCCTGGTAGATCAGGATTTCTTAAAAGTGGCAATACCAATTTTTGGGAGAGGTGATAGCTAATCTTGGTTGTCAACTTGACACACCTGGAAAAAGGGACTCTCAATTGAAGAACTGCCTCTATCAGATTAGCTTGTGGGATTTCTGTGCGATATAGAAGGGCTCAGCCCACTATGGGCAGTGCCATCCCTAGGCAAATGGGCCTGAGCTGGATAAGAAAGGTTGCTGAACAAGCTAGGGAAATGTAACACGAATCTTAAAAGGTCTTATTAATAAAAAAAAAACAAAAAACAAAAACCCGGGGCCTGATATTGGGGTGAAAGCTGAAAGATCAGAGAAACAGAACAAGCCACAGCTAACCTCACCTCTCCAACTCCTCAGCCGATCCTGTTTCCATGAATCTGCAGACTGAAAGCCTGAGTCCTCACCCCTGAGGGTCTCAGTTGAACTGCTGCTTAGTTCCTGTCTCCTCATGCCTTATATACTGTTCTTCACCCAGTGAAGAACACTACACCTGACCTGGAGAGTGCACTTTACATTTTTAAAAAGCTTAATTATTACTGGTGGAGAGCGGTGGCAGGGGAGGTGGAGGGGCGCTGTGTGCATCTCAAAGGATGCTGGAGGAGATGAGAAGACAACTTTTGAGAGGGGTTCTGCCCCCCACTGTGTCCTGAGGATACAACTCAAGTCAGCAGGCTTGCTCAGCAAACGCTTGACCTACTGAACCATCTTAGCAGCCCCTGGGAAGTGTACTTGTAAGATGATCTCAGGGAAGTACTGATTTTTCCAGTTGCTGGGCTTTGCTAATTTGTAAGCAACATGACCAACATTCATGTGCACCAGGAACTTACTAATTCCTAATATTTTTCACCTTAGGAGCTCTGTTTAGCTTCTGTGAACAAGTGGCTTGATGATGTAATATAAATGAATACTTGCTTATCTTTTAAAATCCCAAGGGCACCTCATTACTGTCTTCTAAGAACAATGATCCAATCTCAGCCTTAGATGATAGGTAAGCGTTATGTATCTCATAAAAAACATTGCAGAGGCAATCATTTTTATGTTAACTGACCATAGTTTTATTGCTATGGACTAGTGACAATTATATATCTCTTTGTTCCCTCTATCTGGATGAGGGTTCTAATTTTTTTTTTCTCAGCTACTAGATGTTTGGGGGAGAAAGGTAGCATGACTTATTTTCTTAGAGGTTTACATACTAAGAGAGCTTATACCTGAGGATTCATCCATATACACTTGGTGTTGCAGATGAAAGAACATGAGCTTTGGGCCAGGAACCTTTAATGAGACAAGGCTTTGAGGGGACTGATATCAGCTGTTATGGTTAGAGGGTAGCAAAAAAACAAAACAAAACAGAAAACAACCCAACAACAACAAAATGACTAACTTTGAAAGTGGTATGGTCTCATCATTTCTCAGTGATAAATAAGGACTGCAAGGGCTAAGGGAAGTGGGCTGCAGGGAAGGGGTGGTTTGGGATGGAGCTGCAGTGAAGGTCCAAAGAAGTAAATAAGGCATGACAATCTATTCTATAATATCCCTGAGAGCCTATTTATACAATATTAATTACATGCAAAGAAGTTGAGATTACATTCCAAAGATGGCATTTACTCATACACATACCAGTAGTGAAATGGAAAGGTAGTTTACTATTGTGAGAAAAGCTTGTGTTTGGGGTAAAACAGACTTTTAATTTTTATTATTTAGGGGGTGTATATGTGTTTGGGTGTGTGCACACATGTGCAGGTACATAGGCATGTTTGTGCATACCTGTCTAGGCCAGAGATCAATATTAGATGTCTTCCTCAATTGTTCTCCACCTTACCTCCCCCACCTCGCGCCCCCGGAGCTGAGGACCGAACCCAGGGCCTTGCGCTTGCTAGGCAAGCGCTCTACCACTGAGCTAAATCCCTAAACCCCACCTTACCTTTTAAAACAGTCTCTCACAGAACCTAGAGCTTACTGATTCATCTAAACTGACTGGCCCACAAGCCAGTCCCTTTGTCTTTGCCCCTCCACTGCTGAGGTGACAGGTGCATGCCATGCCCAGAGTTTTACATGTGTGCTGGGGGTCCAGACTCAGGTCCTCAGTGTTATGCAGCAGGTACTCCATGAACAGAGTCATCTGTCCAGCCTCGGACATGATTTCAGTTTATATTCTGCCACTTTGTTGTTGTTGTTTTGAGACAGGGTTTCTCTGTATAACAGCCCTGACTGTCCTAGAACTCACTCTGCAGACAGGCTGGCCTTGAACTCACAGAGATCTGCCTACCTCTGCTTTCCCAGTTCTGGGATTAAAGGCATGCTTGCTTTTTTTTTTTTTTTTTTTTAAGATTTGTTAATGGGGCTGAAGAGTTAGCTCAGCAGTTAAGAATACTGGGGGTCTTCCAGAGGACCTGAATTTGCTCCCTATCACCCACATGACAGTTTACAACTGTTTGTAACTCC